TAGTAACTTTGAGGAATTTCAGCCGAGAGGCAAAAGCATTTCACCTTGGGAGAGGAGTTCCCACGCTTTGGAGTCTCTGTGATCTTAAAGAGGCGCAAAGTATGCGCAAAACCCCGACAAAGCGCATAGCGTGTTGGAAGCCTCCGTCTCCGCAAAGGGAGGAGGCGACGCCGTACCTAATTGTCAGGACTTAGCAGTGAATGAAATGGGTTTGCAGTAAGGTGCCCCTCGGCCAGCGCAAAGCCCCATCTGGAGTCCTGTGCCCTCAAAGTGAGAAATACTGGGAGCTGTGCGAGTGGCTGCAGAAAAAGCCCTAAGGGTGACCTAATGGCTGCAGCGTGTCTCCTACGAAGAAAAGTTGATGGAATCGGGTTTGTTTAACTTGGAGAAGAAAAAGCCTCGGCGTGGCCTTCCTAGCACTCGAAGGAAGCTTTACAACAAGAAGGGGATCAACTTCTTACATGATCTGTGTAACAATACAATGTGATAGAGATCACAACAACAACAGCAGCAGCAGCAGCAGAGTAGCAAAGCCTCCGGCTGCAGCAAATGAAAATGAGCCTAAAAGCAGCAGCTGAAAAATGAAGGGGGAAAAAAAGCTGCTTACCCTCAGGAGACCACAAACTCACCAGACAAATGGCTCCTGCTTCCCCTGCCGGCCCTTAAATGAGGTCTGGGAAGGGGTGGATCCTGGCTCCACCCCTAGCAATAGCTCAGGTACATTGGATGCACCTGAGTTTGCCTGGATGGGCCCTGACTTCTCACCAGGTGCTCAATCGCCGCTTCAGGCTGTGACTCGGCATTTCTGCTACAAACTGACAGTGATAGGACGAGGCGGGATGGCTTTAAACCCTCGGTTTAAACGCTGCTGCGAGGCAGTGGCTCGGCGTTCTTAAAAAGGTCGTGACTGCTCCGCCTCTGAGGGCCATCGAGGCCGGGTCAAATGGGGCCCTGGGCATCCTGATCCAGTGCTGGCAGCCCTGCCTGTGGCAGAGGTGTTTGCACTAAGTGGTCTTTAAGGTCCTTTACGACACCAGCTTTTCTACGATAGATATGGATCGATGGAGGCAGAACCAATTCTTTTCTTTTTTACACGTATTCACGGTATATGATTAGATTAGTATTATTAGATTAGATTATTAGGTATATGATTAGGTATATGATTAGGTATATGATTAGCCCATTCCAGTGCCTGACCACCCTGTCTGAAAAGTAATACTTCCTAATGTCCAGCCTGAATGTCCAACCATTCCCTCTGGTCCTATCACTAATGACACGAGAGAAGAGGCCGACCCCCAGCTCCCTACAACCTCCTTTCAGTAAGTTATAGAGAGCAATGAGGTCTCCCCTGAGCCTCCTCTTCTCCAGGCTGAACGTTCCCAGCTCCTTCAGCCTCTCCTCGTACGGCCTGTGTTCCAGACCCCTCACCAGCTTTGTTGCCCTCCTTTGAACACGTTCCAGGGCCTCAATATCTTTCTTGCAGTGAGGGGCCCAAAACTGGATGCTCGAGGTGCGGCCTCGCCAGTGCTGAATACGGGGGAACGATCACCTCTCTGCTCCTGCTTGCAACACTGTTTCTGATGCAAGCCAGGATGCCGTTGGCCTTCTTGGCCACCTGGGCACACTGTCGGCTCATGTTCAGCCGAGCGTCAATCAATACCCCCGGGTCCATTTCCTCTACGCGGTCCTCCAGCCGCACACGTGAGTATCTACATGGTGCACCCTTACAGGCGTATTCTTCAGCTGGGCAACAATGTATTTCCACAGTTCAGCGGCCCAAACAGGTTAACCCCTCTGCTGCCGGTCGTTTTTTTCCCAGTGCTGCAACCACCCCCGTGAGGCATTTGCCGCCATCCGTGAATCAGCATAAAGATAAAGCACTGGCCACCTCTCATGTTCGGCAACATCTAAGGCAGGCTGGACAGCCTTTACGTCTGCGAACTGCAAACTGACACGAGTCTCCTTTTCCTTCGGTGGCCTTTGCCACGTAAGGCTCCACACAGCAGCTTTTCATCTGCGATACTTTCCCACAGTACAACGTGATTAGTCTGTGAACAGGGTAAATTTCTTTCCATTTTTTGGTAATTCACTGTATGCTTCCTTAGCACGCGATACTTCTCCTGATTATGTTCCACATTTCTTGCTTTCAGGCCAGTGCATAATCACCTCTAAGATTCCTAGCTGACTAAGATTCCCCATCCGTGCTCACTGTGTAATCAGCGCAGTCCGGTAACTCCAAGTGGCATCTGTGGCATGATGGGCAGAGGGAATCTTTCCCTTGAACATCCGGTTCAGCACTGGCAGTCGAGGTTGCTAGAAGGAGCTGCGTTTCAGTACCGACTGCTTCGGAAGCGGCCCGAACCCCCTCATATGCAGCTAAGATCTTCTTTTCAGCACTCTGCAGCCCCCTTGTACGCTCGACTCCGGAAACCCAGGGGTCGGCCTCGGGTCTCTCCTGAGGCTCTTTGCCACAGGCTCCATGTGGGACTTTTCTCTCCGGCAGCAGTATAGAAAATGTTCTTTACGACCTGTCCTGTCCATCCTGGCCCCAGGGCCGCAGCATGGGCTATCTCCTGTATAGCCCATATATCTCATATATATATAGATATATATGTATAGCTCATATATCTCCTCCTATAAGCCTACTGCTGCTCAGGGCTCCACGTCAAATTATGCTTCTTCCATGTCTTACAACGAGGCTGTCGTTTGGAACACGCCTTCTCCAAAAGCCCAGTGGTGTCTCTTTCTTGCTGCAGGGTGGAGACGTAGCAGCGATGTAGGCGGTCGCATCTCCTGGGATGTGACGACGCCCATCGTGCCATTTTAATCCTAGGAACTGCTTTCCCTAGGCAGGCCCTTTCACTTCGCGTCACTTAATAGCGAAACGAGCTAGCAGAAGAATTTGGATTATTCACTGCGCTTTCCTGAAAACTTCTGCTGTATCCCCCCACACAACAATATCGCCAATAGACTGCAGATGCCTGGGAGCACCTCCCCGTTCCAATGCGGTTTGTATCGACCCACAGCAAATGGTTAGGCTGTGTTTCCACCTCTGAAAGAGTGGACAGGCACTGGAATGGGCTGCCCGGGGAGGTGGTGGAGTGACTGACCCCGGAGGTGTTCAAAGAACATTTGGATTTTGTGAGGAGGGACCTGGTTTAGGGAGTATTGGTGATAGGTGGATGGTTGGACTGGTGATCTTGAAGGTCTTTTCCAGCGTTGGTGTTTTGGTGATTCTGTGATTATTATTCCTTGTTGATGAGCAGATGCCAAAAAGGTAAGTGGTTTCGTGTCCTATTTTGAAAAACTCTTCTTACTTTCCGTGTGACGTGAATATCTTATATGCTATGGTTTCCCTTTCCCAAAGTTATCTGTTACCTCTCTTAACCTCAGCAAAGTTATATTCCTCCATCTGAACACAAATCAGAACATATGATTTTGGAGACTCAGTAATTAGAAAATTACAATATTATGAATAGGCAGAGGAATCATAATTAATTACTGCTCTGTATATCTTTAAAGGTGTTTTGAACTTTTTGGTGAAGAATGAGATCTTGGGCTTGTTCCACTGTTACCCTGGGATGGAATCCGCTCCCCACGCCCTCACCTAGAGGTTCAGGGGCCTTGCAGACGATTGCATTTCCAAATATTTTAAGTTAAGTTAAAATAAATTAATAAAAACCAACAAACAAATACAGTTAAACTAAAATAAAATAAATACAATTTCATGAGTTTAGAGAAAGTGAAAGCATTCTGTCAGCCCCCGGCTCCATAATCTTTGAAAGACTTCTACACGGTTCTATGGGTATTTCCTTTCCTTTGCTTAACAGTTCCATACAATTATATTAGAAACCTGTGAGAATCCTTCTCTGTTTTTTTTGGCTCAAAGCTTGCTTCCTGAGGTATTTCTTGTGATAAGACTCTGAATGATTTGTTGAGGAGGCAACTAATAGGTGCTAACCGTGTGACAATGGATATCGCTTTGGGAACATTTGAAAGCCCCTTCCCCCAGAGCTGCTTGCTCTGTAGAAGAGCGGATGAAAAGGCTCAGGAGTGTTTAGTGGCGGAAGATCTGGCCTGTGACAAAACAGCTCCAGCTAGGTGTGGGAAAATTGGGGAACGATACCATCGTGTTCTGTGAGAAACAGGATGCAGATGGGCACCCCTGCTCCCTCTTATCTGCTGGCAAGGCCCGGAAGATGGGAACAAAGGAGTTTCTGCTGAGATCCCAGAGCCAGAAGCTGCCACTCAAAGGAGAGCTGACTCGACCGCTTTGGATTTGAGCTGTCACTCCAAAGATAGCTGACTTCACCACTTTGAAACCATTGAAAAGGGGCCATCATCACCGTTGTCGTCGTCGTTGTTGGCAACAGGACAACTCTGCCTGACGACCCACCGCTACTGAAGATCAAAGACTGAACTATGAACCACGCTGGATCCATGGTGGTGACTATGTCCCTCTTGCTGCCTATAAAGACTCCTTGCCTCTTCTTTTCTATCTTTCCTATCGCCCTCCTTCCCTTCCCCCATTACCCTACTTCATAATATTGTCCGTCCTCCCCTTCCCCATTTCCCTAATTAACATTTGTAATAAACTGGTCGGACCAACATTTGAACCGTTGCTTCTTAATCTCACGCCGGGTATATAGATAATAAAAGAACCTCCTCTCCCTCCTATAAATTGGAGCGAGACATTTATTTAATGGCGTAGTCGTTGCAGGATACCCGCTGTGAGAGTGTTGTCCTTCCAGATACTGTTTGAAACTTTTTTCTCTGTGTGCACCTCCTGGAGTTGCAAGGAGCGATAGTTTTGAAAATTTAGACGTGAGTCCTTCTCCAGGAAGACCGCTCCATATTCTGAAACTTTACCTTTCATGTGTGTACCTCTCGGGGACGTATTTTGACTATTTGCATTTTGATTAATACGTGTGTGCCTCCTCGGGAAGACTTCTCTGGTTTTTTGGTGACTGAAGTGCGAAACTTGAAGTGATAAACTTAAACGTGTGTGCCTCTCCAAGAAATTTTATTTACTCTATTGAAACCTAGAAAGTGTTGCTTTAGCGTCACATTTTTTGTGTGCTCCCCCAAAGAAAGGGAGGAGTGATTGGAGCATTTGCATTTGTTTAGGTGTGCTGTATCTCCCTGGGAGGAGAGGTGAGGAGTAACTGAGCTTTTGAATACGTGTACCTCCTCCTCCCTTAGTATAGATCTTTCATTGTATTAAGAAATGAGCGACAGCATTGCCAACATGAAAAGTGAAGATGTATTATTTGATCTTTTAGAAAAACATGATGCTCGACCCTCTTTATCAGGTATGGATTGGGCACGACAGAACTGGTATAACTTGCAGAGTGTTTCGGACCGTATTAGTATCCTGCAAAAGAATGCTCGTACTCGAGCTGGAAAAGGAAAGTCGTTTATCTGTGCAGTACTAGGTTCTGCTCTGGTTGCAGCCACAGAATTCCGAGAGCAGCAACTTAAGGCAGAAACCCAAACTATAGAGTCGCTGCAGGAACTGGTCAAGACTCTGCAGAAACAAACAGAGGAACTAAAAGGGCAATTAGAAAATGAAAAGCATGATGCAGCTCTCTTACTAGAGGCTCTGAAGGAGCAGTTAAGGTATAAAGATAATAGCGATATTATCGCTCATAGTTTGCCTCAAGAAAAAATCTATCCTCTAGAAGGATTGAAAGAAATGAAGGCAAGGTTAGACAAATTAGAGGCCTCTCCAGCCCAGATGCGTCCTTTGATAAAAACTGAATATACATTTGATAACAGTGAGGATCTAGATCCCCAAATGAATGTTAAGGAAATTCCCTTCTCAGCCACTGAACTGGCGAAATTGAAGAAAGATTTCAGCCGTTCTCCAAAGGAATCAGAAACAGAATATGTATGGAGGGTTAGTCTCACTGGTGGCGACCAGATTCTGCTAGCAGAAAAAGAGGCGGAAGGTTACTGGGGACCAGGAGTATTTTTAACTACTGGCAACAGTCGTGCTCCCTGGTCCTTAACACAAAGAGCTGCCTATTGGGCAGGTGGTCTCAACCCTTTAGAAAGGGGAGACCCTCTTGCCATTACTGGAACAGTTGATCAGTTAGTAGAGAGTGTTCGAAAGGCTGCTTGTCTCCAAATGATGTATGATAGAAAGCTGCAGCCGCACCATGAATCACCTATGATGATGCCTGTTGATCCTGAGAGAATGACTGCTTTAATTAGAGGGCTTCCAGAGTCGTTAAAACCTATAGGTATTCAACTGCAAGGAAAAATAGAGGCTATGTCTCAGGGAGAGAGAATTCGGCCAGTGTTAGAAGGAACTGTAACCCTCAACCATCTGCAGTCAGGAAACAAAGCGTGGACGTGGGGAGAGGTTGCCCAAGAGTTAATTAACTATGGAAGGAAATATGGGCCAGTGGTTTCTTCCTCCACTAAATTTGAGCCAAGGGAAGTACGACTTGCAGCAGTCAGCCTTGCCCCCAGGCCTCCTAGCTCAAAGCTCAGTGGGACTGGCAGGGTCTCACTGTCAGTAAAAACAGGTAGGCGAAATATTGATCATAAACGTAATTGTCTCTGGATACTGGGCTGGCAAAAGGGTGTTCCACGAGATTTGATGAATGGATTACCCACTGTCAGGTTAGAGAAATTAGTTAACTGGTGGCCAGAACAAAAGATCCAGAATCTTGAGGAAAGCAAAACCCCAGGTCCTAAGGTCTCTCCCTGGGAACCTGAACGGCTACCCAAACCATTAGAAAACTGATGTCTTCGCCCCTCCCAAGTGAGCGGGGTGGGGGCGGTGAAGGGTGGATGCATGAGAAAGCTCACAACAAAGGGAAACAAGATCGTCGATTTAACACCTTTTGCTAAAGGCCTCACCACTCTTGCAAGTTATCCCTGTGAGTCATGATCCAGTGGCTGATAAGCCAGGGAAATACTTTTACCTCCCTGGCCACACTGTGTCTATTTGACTCAGCTAGCCTGAGGCCAGTTTCCCCTAACCTTAACAGGATCCCTTAACAAATATCTTTGGAAGGCTACAGACACCCCGAAAAAGGAATATGGAATCAACACTTGCTGTATTGTTCCCTCATTTTTTTTTTTAACCCTATTAACAAAGCCCAAAAAGGGCAAGTCGGTGTCTTGTTTTATTTCACAGAAGATCCCCGTGGGACCTTGACAGAACACAAAAAGACTAATAGCTGACTTTAACTATTTGTGTTTTGTGACAGAAATACTGATTTGATCATGCTAGAACACTGAATGTACCTTTTGATTACATTTTTTTTTTGGTTGCAATAGTGTTATGTTTTGTGTTGTTATGGGTGTGGGTGGTGATTGGTATCAGTCCTTGGATCTGTTAAACTTCACAACTGGGTTCAGGGTTTTTTACAGGTCATCCTGGTTTACTGGTACTCCCTGCACAGTGATACCATTTCTTTTGACTCCTTCTTTCACTCCTTTTTACCAAACTGATTATGATTTGCATGTAACTCCTCCACAGTGTTTCCAAATTTCTGACAAACTGGGAAATTAATCAAGGGACTCATCTAATATCTATTAGATGTGGTCACAAAAGAAATCTATCATAAAGCCTTTTGCACTGATGCTTTTCAGTGTCACACCAGTCCAGGAGTTCCATCCAAAACATGGTTGTTGGAAAGTGCCTAAGTTTTAAAAAGAGATGTGTGTGTTTCTGGGATTACCCCTCTGTGATGGTTTGTACTGTGGAGGTATCCTGCACACACTGTCCTGTGAAAAGTTCTGTGGACTGTAACAATACTTGAACTTGCCAAACTAATATTTATATCTCTTAGCATTTGAATTGCTTTGGAAATGCTCAAGTGTAAAGTTCTCGAAACACTAAATCATCTTGGAAAACATTACATGGCAAGTCCACGTATTGTCAAATTAGACTAGATATGCTTTCAATCTTTTAGTAAATTAACTGAAGTGTAATATTGTATGGCTATTCATAAACACCACAACCTCTACTGAAGAATTACCATCTGGATCCTGGCTTACACTGGGAGTTCCTGGGTGGGGAAAGCAGCTGATACAAATACCTAAGTTTGTTTTACCTACTTATTTATTATTATTGGTTATTGTTAAATGTATGGTTGTCTCTTTTCACTTTCTACCTTTTATTCATCATGTAACATTTGTGTCACCACTCCTGATGTATCACCAAGTGGTGTCTGTGGCAAACCAAATGATTCTAATTGTTGTCTAAAGATTGATGATAATGGTAAAGTTGTTAAACAAATTGCCCAGGGTATACGGAAAATAGCCCATGTTCCTGTCCAAACCTGGAAGGGCCTAGACGTAGATTTCTTTTCCTGGCTTCCAAGTGGCCCATGGGTCAAACGTATCCTATTTTATCTGCTGTGTGTTGTCGCAACTCTTATGTTTGTACCGTGTATGATTCCATGTTTTATTCAACTGATACAACGTGTTGTATCTTCCATGTATTTTGTAACCGCTTCAACAGATGATGGACAAGTCCAACAGATCAGGGCAACATTTGTAACCAAGCCCAAGAAATCTTTTATAGTAATTGTGTAACAATTATCTTCCCCTTCTCCCCCTCCTCTTTCCCTCTTGCTTGTTTGCTGTCTTTCCATTTTCTCCCTTTTCTTTTCCTCACCACCATGGAGGGTTACTTATGCTTCATTTCAAGCAATCTTTGAGCCACGGGGTGGTGTGAGAATCCTTCTCTGTTTTTTTTGGCTCAAAGCTTGCTTCCTGAGGTATTTCTTGTGATAAGACTCTGAATGATTTGTTGAGGAGGCAACTAATAGGTGCTAACCGTGTGACAATGGATATCGCTTTGGGAACATTTGAAAGCCCCTTCCCCCAGAGCTGCTTGCTCTGTAGAAGAGCGGATGAGAATGCTCAGGAGTGTTTACTGGCGGAAGATCTGGCCTGTGACAAAACAGCTCCAGCTAGGTGTGGGAAAATTGGGGAACGAAACCATCCTGTTCTGTGAGAAACAGGATGCAGATGGGCACCCCTGCTCCCTCTTATCTGCTGGCAAGGCCCGGAAGATGGGAACAAAGGAGTTTCTGCTGAGATCCCAGAGCCAGAAGCTGCCACTCAAAGGAGAGCTGACTCGACCACTTTCGATTTGAGCTGTCACTCCAAAGATAGCTGACTTCACCACTTTGAAACCATTGAAAAGGGGCCATCATCACCGTTGTCCTCGTCGTTGTTGGCAACAGGACAACTCTGCCTGACGACCCACCGCTACTGAAGATCAAAGACTGAACTATGAACCACGCTGGATCCATGGTGGTGACTATGTCCCTCTTGCTGCCTATAAAGATTCCTTGCCTCTTCTTTTCTATCTTTCCTATCGCCCTCCTTCCCTTCCCCCACTACCCTAATTCATAATATTGTCCGTCCTCCCCTTCCCCATTTCCCTAATTAACATTTGTAATAAACTGGTCGGACCAACATTTGAACCGTTGCTTCTTAATCTCACGCCGGGTATATAGATAATAAAAGAACCTCCTCTCCCTCCTATAAATTGGAGTGAGACAAAACCTAATTTGCCTGCGCTGGGATTTCAAAGGAGTTGAAAGCTGTTAATTTCAAAGCGATAAAATGCAGCGTACTCGAGAGGAAGAGTGAAGGATCCAACCATAGCTCCTTCTTTGCCAAATAAACTCCTGAGAACTTTACAAAACATGCTGGCAGATAGCACGTGCCTTCAGGCTCAAAATAATCCCGACAAACTAAACTTCGCCATGTCTAGATCTATTTAGGCACAATATTTCATCACTCTAAAATTGCATATTCATTATTTTATGCAGATGACTAAGTTATAGTTTTGCTGTAGTAATGTAATACCTTGTTCACTGAATTAGAATACCCAGACCTCTTTAGTTCGTTTAACTCTCCGATCTTCCTCAGGGAAATCAGGAGGATCGCTGTGTTTATATAAGCTGTCCAAATCCAAGTTTCGAATTAATGATTCCATTATCGGACAAAGGCAGACCCAACGCGTTTTCCAGATGGCTTCAAGCACCAATTATCTGAGATTTTCCAGGAAACCCGAACTTCAGGGTGAGATCGCCAGAGAAAAAAATACTAACCTGAGTTTGGGACATCCCCCAGCTGCACTGTCGCCTTGGTCCAGATAAGGCCTGACTTCCCAAACGCCGTGCGTACTGCTGGATGTAGCGGAACTCAAGACAGCATTCACATGTGCCGTCGGGCCGTGCACACTGCTCGTCTCAAAATCACGATTCCACTGATCTCCTGCTAGAAAATAATTTACAGAAAGAAGGCAGATATCTCACTCACCTCACACAATAAAGGCATTAAAACATACATATTATCCAGAAGCTCTCATTAGCATCGCTGGCCAATTCTGGTTCGGTTTTTGTATGAGCAGAAGTGTGGGCTTCCTGGGAAAGAGCTTCTGATAATGGTACCGCAATAGCTGGTCGCAGAACTGTTAGCGGGGTAACAAATCCGTCGCCCTCAAAGAGGAACGGTCTGAGGCTGGAACAGGAGGCAGATTCTCTCATACCACGTCCTCAGTTCCTGAATACTTAGTCACCGTGCTTTTGCCACAGTTTTGTTACACACGGACAAATGGACATTTGTGCAATCCTTTTGGCCTGACGAATATTTGACGGCAGGGTGATTAATGCCTTCTCCTTGGTATATTACTTGTTACCTTATAATTTTTTGTTCTTACTCAAATCTATCCATCTGCCTGACAGTCTGCCCAGAACGCCTTATGAAAATAGTCAAATAAAATTAAAACAGCACGGGGAGGGAAAGGGTACAGAGAAGAATGCTTAGCAGGGGAGCTAAGCGTCAGGTAATAGCTTGACTCGTTCTTCACAAAAGCTGAGCAGAATATGGCAGCCTTAACGTCAGCTGCCAACTTCAAAAAACCTAACACCTGTGAGAAGAAACTCTCCCTCCTAATTATACCTCGACACTGTCCTCTGTAACAGAGTCGGTATTTTGCCAGGAATAAACATCGCTATTTCTTTCCTAGGCAAGCTGCTTGGCTGTTTCAATTGTCTTTTAAATATTAAGGAGCTGGAAACATTCGTCACATCCTGTGCTGTTTACACAGCATCACACAGTCCCCCTTGAAACCAAGACGCTTTACGGCAAGCTCGACACGCGGTTCCATCCAAACATTTGCTACTGTATTTGCCAACCACAAACAGATTTCTGCAAACGCTGAGCAAAGCTTTAAAGGTTCTGACAGCCACCCAAAGTTGTGCTAGCACGACTGCCGAGGAAAGGTGGTGTCAGGACACTCGGCCTCCACCGCTACTACCTGGATGTGGGAAGAGACGTGAACGCAAAGCGCTCACGGCTCCGCACAGCACAGCTCCCGGCAAAGACTTGCTGCCCGGCCTCTACAACCCAGCTCTTCCAAAGCACTGCAGAGCGCAAAGAGCACAAGGACTGTTAGAGAAAAGTGTGAAAGGGTAACTTACGTTGTATAGAGAAACACTGGGAAAGGACTGCTGTGGTTTCTTCAGTATTTTACACTGACGTTGGAAGAGAAGGCAGTCAAAATAGGACACCTACAGAAATCTCTCTTCAATTCTCTCTCTCTGTTCGTTTACTCTCCAGTCGCTGCGCCTGAAGAAATGCAACAGTCAAAAGTTTATCCCTGCTATTTCCGAGCGATGCGGCCGACTCTCCTTGACCATGTACTGATCATGTAAAATCAGACAAGAGCAGGGGAGGCGAGAAGCAATCTAGCTTGAGCCTGAAACTTCTGAACTGGGCGTTTTCTGTAAAAGCTGCTCTTGTGTCAGAAGCTCCCATCGCCACGCTAACTTGCAGAGCGTGAACTCATCCATCTGGTTTTCGTAAATTGCAAATTACAAGCGAAGCAGGGAACGAGCACAGCCCGGTTTTCGCTGAACTCTCCAGGCACCAGCCTTACAAGTAACCCGAGGTACAAAGGCTTTGCGAACAGCGGGCCAGCCCACGCCGCTCTGCTCTCCGTCACGCGTGTGGCTGGGCTGGTGGGCTGGCTAACTCCCCAGGCATCCCCCTGCTCTGCGAGCGGCACGCTGCCCAGGGATGTGCCGAGCGGCGCTCCCCCCCGGCGAAAAAAAATGAGCCTGCAGCATCCTTCCCAGCATGAACAGCCTTTTCGGAAAGGGAATTTAAAATAAACATGAGATTAAATAAATAAAAAAGAGAAACTGTGCATTTCTTAAAACAGTTCAACAGTTTAGGAAGTCAATTAGAACAACCTGATGCTTATTAATAGCGAACAGGACGCAGGCGCCCGTACTTCAAACATTTCCAGGTGGGAAGGAAATACGCTGCGGGTTTTTTTGATTTGCTGTTGTATTTTCCTCTCAGAATTAGTGGAGAGCTGCCTGACGGAAAACCTCTGAGATGATCCTGCCCATTGATTGCCACAATGAGCATTTTAATCAAAAGCATCGTAAAGTCTCTAAAAGCACCCAGAGAAAGCTGGTGACTCCAAGCTCCTAAAGCCATGTTCACTCTCTATTTTCAGCTACTTAAAGGTCCTGATTAAATTGAAGTGCCAGAGGCTTGAGGGCTCACACACCTTTTTTTTTAAGACAGTTCAAGGTCAGTAGTAAACTGCGTTGTTTTTCTAACACAAACACCGAGGAAACTATTTCCCCCTTGTCTATATCAGATAAAGAAGTTTTGTGTTACTTGAAATCAGAAAATGTTATTTTTGTGTTCTTTTTCTTTATCATCTTGTATTTAGCCTTTTGTTTCACCCGAGGACTTCTGCAAGCTTTTCTACTGGGAACGATCTCACTCGGTTTAACGCTGAGAACCTCCAAGGGAGGCAGCTTTCCTTTAAGCGTGAATCGGTGAGTCGTTAACAAAATAAAAACACCGCTGTAAACGGTCTGCCTCAAAATTTCAAGGCTTGTCACTTGCTCCATTTCATTCTTTGCGTGATTATGCTCCTCTATCTGGATTAGAACCGATATGACTAGATTGGATTGATACTTAAAAAAAATAAAAAATAAAATAACTAATTAGTATATGCAAAGGAAAAAACTATGAACTAATTTTATTCATGTGTATTTTTGCCCGGGCTATTACAATTCCTTGCGATAACTGTAGAAGTCATTGAATAATTTCAATCGAATCTGATAGACTGGCAGAGTTCTCAAAGATATTATATTCCTACAGCTTTTGTGAAGACAGGCAGCCCTCCAAGATGAGTGAAATACAGTCCTGTGATCCAATATAAAAGGCTACACATAAGCTCAGTCATATTAGACACACAAACAAGAAGTACTTGAGAATAGATTTCATGGGTCCTACTACTCAAATGCTACCACAGTTGTAGACCTTCAGCCTACCTTCTAGCTTTTCTCTGTCCATGCAGAAACATCAGAAGATATCTTTTTGATACAGCAGTAAACGGGGCTTGTTAACAGTTGTGTTATTTTTCCTCTCACTTAGTGATCAAGTAAAGTGAACTCACTCTTTTGGGTGTTACGAGCAGGGGCTGTAGGATTGGCCTGAGTGGCTGGAGTGGCTTCCCGGCACCGCCGAACGGCTGAAATCCACTGAGTCATCGCACGCAGCAAACTATTTTCCCCGTGCTCTCATTTGGCAACACTAGAGGCTAAACAAAAATTTGGATCAGAATTTCTTTGTTCTGTAAAAAGCTTTCAGCTTTCAAGAGGAACGTGCTTTAAAATTAAGCCTTCTATAATTTGTAGCTTCTTTGAGGCAGAAAGTGGGTTTTTATATCACAGAATAATCACGTTATCACAATGAGCTCACTACAGAGAGACTACTGTAAGCCTCTCACAACAAACATTGAAGACCTTTCTTTAATCCACTCCCCCACAGCACTCTAAATTACCTCCCTCCATCCCCAACTAATGATGTGTCTTGAAACATGGAACAAGGAGAGCAATTCCCAGACTAGATCGTGTGTAAAACCTGTATCGTGTCGTATATTTTCAAGTTATTAATCATCCTCCATTTGCAACGTTGGTTTCACGGCAAGTAGATTAGTTTATTAACTTCTGTACTTCGATAATCCTGGATGCAGCTGTTTTCATGTTCCTTTACTGGAGGCTATTTATTTATCTTATTTAAACAATCACTCACAGGTTATGCAGTGAGAAGCTCTGGTTTAGAGAATATCATATTGTAATATATATACGCTTAATTTCTTTCTACTTGGTTGGCCATAAAGTATTATAAAGTTTACATAAAAGTATGCAAGTCGTGGCATTTTCTCACAAAGTTCTCCCACATTTCCTGTTTTCTGAACTTCCTCGAAATTGAATGCGTTTCTTATTATTCCAATGATCCGCATGCTGTGCTGCCGGTACCTGTGCCTGCCCTTAGCAAACCGCGCAAAGATCGCCTTCCTCCTTCTGTCAGTTACTCTTGTATGCATCCCAGCTTTGTGATAATCACAGGCCCTTTTTGGGGGGGAAGTTCCTATTCCCTATAGTTCTTGTCTGTTTTTATAGGTGTTTTTAACCAAATAAAAAACCTAAAAAAAAAAACAACCGCAATACATAACGCTTTGTTGACTTCAAAATGGAGTCTGGACAGAAGCCATTCCTTTGATCCCTTCTCATTCATTCATTAATTTACACTCTATAGAAATCGGGCGAAGAAAAGAGGGACTCACGTTTACAAGGAAACCAACAGCAATCCTCCTGTTATTCGGCAGTAAGTCATCTTCCCTGACAATTAGGAGCAGATTCCCACTGTCCTAGTGTAGGTGTCCACTCAACTTCTCCAGTTGAACAAATGACGTCCTGAAAAAGATACAGGTCTTTTGCTAGGCGTGGACATAAGAAAGGGAATTCAGATCGCAGAATCAAAACACAGAGATAAGCTTCATTCAGTAAAAAGGTTCAGTCGGGTAACTCAGCAGACTGTTTTAAACAGTTTACTCATTTGCAATGGCTGCAAGCACCCGCTAGATCAGCACAAATGCCAGACCCTGACTCTCGGTCAGTCCCCTGTTGCCTGCCTTGAATACAGTTCTGTTGTGGAGGCAGCGTGTGCCTGCTGGCCCATGTCAAGACTGTCTTCCCCAACTCCCGGAAAATCAGGAACCCCTTTCCTCCTTTTTCACTTTCCCAGAGAAAACATCTCAAAAGCTGATGCGTAATAGACCCCACTGTTAGATCTACGTGTGGGCGCTGTCAGTGCTTTGCTTTATACAGCATCCAGATTTAGAAGGATCAGTGTGATTTACAGAGGTAAGGAGAACCAGCGAACAGATTTACGTAGTGTTATCTAGTTACCTAAAAGACTCTGTGGGCAGTGAGGCCTAAAATCATTGGACTAATCTTTTCTCTTTGACATGCTTTCTTTATGGGAGCAGTACCTAATCCCTTGTTTTCAAAGACTTCTCGGAAATCCAACTTCTTCAGCTTCACTGTTGACTTACTTTGTTACATCTGAAAAGTGTGGTTTTAACAAATCCCACTTGCGTCTAATCCTTTCTTCTCAGACAATCCATAGGTCCAGTTACATCAGTAACTTGAAAAAGTCCGAAAAACAGGAATACAAGCCGTGCTTCTCCCCGCTGAAGTCTCGTCATTCGTTTTGTAGCCGTTCATTTGTCTTCTAGCTTTAATACAGAACTATAATCCTGGACCCTGGCACTCAAAAAGGAAAACGTACAATGCTTAATTATAAAAAAGGAACGGATATCAAGTTATTTCATATCAAGCTTAAATTTTCAAACTGCTACGGGAGAAAGTCTCACTTAGTTCCAAACACAATGCTGCAGCTCACAGAGGTTGGTGCGTCTCGCTGTCCAGCGCTACCTACCTGACTGACTCAACTCTGCTTACCCACGCTCCTGAAACAATTATGCTGGGGAGTTAATAGCATAAGGAACTAACAGAGCCTTCTGGAAGTAGCCTTCCGCTTAAAACTGATTATGCCTGCTTTCTCAAACAGATGAGGGTAATTAAAGAAAAAAGGGTATGAGTTCTGAGGCCGCTGACTGGGCAAACGCGAGGCAGAAGAAAAGAGATTCTGCTGAATGAGTCAGTGTTTCTAGCCTTCCGAATTTAGGTGCTTGTTACAAAATGGAATAGTTCTGAGTAGCAAAGATGGTCTTCGAAATTGTAGCTGGCTCCTCTTGGGACAATGCCTCCAAATGCAAAATTATCATACACATTTGCACGCTAAGACAGATCTGTAACAAATGCAGTAAAACAAAATTAATGTTTATATAAAAGGCCATTTTCATTTATTCTGATCATTAACAAATGTTCTTCTCAGGTTTCAATCCGGAAAGTCTTATGTAGACGAAGAGCAATTTCCAAATGATGTTTTAAACCTGTACTGTTTGTCACAACTGGGTTCCACTCAGTCACTTCCTGACTGTGTTAAATGTAATGGCAAAACGTGCTCTGATTAAATAACTAAGCCTTTGGCAACTGCAATATGCAGCTTATCTGACAACTCCCCAGAAGCCTGGAAAACTTTTCTCCTCTTTTTTTACTTCCTTCTCTTTCAACCAAGGAATTGTTTTCAACAATGCAATTAGAGAGAACACAAGAAATGAGGAACAAAAATTTTGAAACAATAGAAAAAAAATGTACTTTATATAACTATGTTAGCAACTCAGATATTTGTATATTCAGCATCCCAATCATTTGTAATTAACTGTGGTCCTCCCATAGTTGTAATTTACCACAGATAAAAATAGCCACGAGTAGGAGAGAATTGCTCTTCAGCTATTGTAAATGAATGCAACTCTTACACTATGAAACATTTCCCCTAAACATACTATGAGCTCAAATGACAACAGGATATCAAATGCTATCAAACAGGGTATTTTTTCTGGGCCCGTACCTAGCCATACTCAGAACACATTTTTGGTGGCTTAGATAAAATTAAATCCAAGTCCTAATAGTTACTTTTGTGAAATCAAAAGGCAGTAGAAGTTTTTGTGAAGCAGAGACTTGTTTACCTTGGCCCATCTCTACAACCAAGTGATGAAACACTGCTGCTTCACAAGCAGTTTATCAATTGCATCAGACAGTTCGTAACGCTTGGATTTTAAGGTGTATTTTTTCCTTTGTCTGCCCCCTGCCTGCCGTATCCTTCAGGAGTCTCAAAATAAGAATTGTAACTGTGCAGGTCAGAATGACAATGCACTGCTTTCCATAAATGTAATTTCCTGACGACAGTTCACAGCTTCTTGTAAGCGTGGATTGACCGCAATCCACATAAGGATTCCTCTGCTGCCACCTGCTTCTCATTCAGGTTTACCTGAACTGATACTCCTAAAGGGCAGATGAGGATCTGAAGTTATGCCCTGTTAGTCTCTTACTATTTAGTGGCGAGGCGCTTCGTACCTGAAGAAAATGCTTGCATCTATTTTCTCAGTTTAAAGCATTTTACTTCTTCCCTTCCCTTTGCCTCCATTTCCCCCTTCCTGGTGATGTAGGTTTTTAATAGTCTTGCTATCTCACACGTGACCTAGTTCCAGGTTCTGCTTACATTGATGCCTCTTGTCTCTTTCCTCTGGCACTCTGGCGTCCTACACTCCACAGAACGTCATCTCACAGAGCTTTCCGGGAGCACCACGCCAATAGCCTTCCTTTCCACAGCCTGCTTTTTCCTCAAGATCAGTTTTGAGAGGCTGAACTTCTGACCGGTTGTGATTAATGGGTATCGCCTAGACGTGACAAATATTCTGATCCCAAAAGCATTTGAGCTTCATACGTTAAAGAAACTGAAGTGTGAGCTTTGCAGCATGCTCTGCAAGTTGACTACTCTGACTTATATGCATATACTATATCACGAATGCAAAAATTTTACTATTTCAAAAAGCATTACACTTGTTTGATTTTATATTTGAGGGATTAGACAGCTGATTCAGGTTTTTGGTGCGATATTGAATTCGTGTAACTGGCATACAAACTGACAGTCTTACATTTTCCTCAAAGCTTATTGCTTCCCTCTTTCGTTATAAAACAGCGTCAGAAGTAAAATACACTTTGTAGTGGTGCTACCTCAGATAAGGTGATTGGGCTCTTGCCCTTGGAATTCAGATGCCGTGATTAAAAGCTGTTAGCTCATTAAATACACGTGCACGTTACTGATTTTTGCACTTGTTGCTTTCTCCTCCTGTTCAGTACTTATATCCAGATTATACCATTTTCTTCAGATCTGTTCATTTTAAGAAGCAAAAGTTTGTCTGCCATATGCTGTATGTGTCCATGCTAGAGTGACAAGGACTGAACTTCTGCATTATTGATACGAGATCAAAAGCAACTATTTTAAAAGCTGCTTTGATGGCCCATGGCATCAAGAAGATATGGGTTACACTGAAGTCATTTCAGCTGACATTTATAATATATCCAATATAAAAGCAGACTGATTTAGCAATCTAAACTAGGAAATAAAGCGATATTAAGCAGTATGCAGTGACATCAAGCAGTCATCAGATGTGAGAATTTGTTACAAGGGCTTTAAACCTAGACTCCAAACACATGTTTACAGAAGTAACTAGTTCCGGGTGCCTCGTTAAACAAAAATTCACTAGCAGAGAGTTATGAAAAATTTGGCCATGGAGAAATAAGTTTCTAGAGCAAAAACAAAACCAAAGAAAAACAAGTAGGCATTTTGTTTAAAATCTTGCCTTTTTTTTTCCTGCAAAATCTCGAGTCCACAACAAGTGAAAAATTAGTCTTGCTCATTTTATCCGCATGGAATAGCAATCACATTTGAAATTTCAAATAGTTTCACGGGGAAAAAAAAAGGTAGAATTTCCCATAAGGTTTCAGGGAAATAAATCTGGGACAATTCTTTAGTGCTGCTAGCATTTTTCAGTTGAAAAAGAATTCTCTTCCTGTCCACGTCCCCTGATTCCCCCTAACTGAGTTGACAAATATGTATGTTTGTATGCTGTTCCTTTCTACACTTTCAGACTGTCACATAGAATTTATGTTTTTCCTATAATCACAAGTGTAACTATTACACAGCAGACGATGGTCATTAAGACGATAGTAGTAGCTTGGCAAATATATTAATCTAGAAAAACACTGCTTCCAATCCAGGACTCCCAAATCTCCTCACTTTGTCATCATGACCAGTGACCTGTGACTAGGCTAGGTCATAAAGTCAAGAAGCCTATGGACAAGCAGTCGTTAGCTACCTGATCCTCTGCTGCACAGTCACCTAAAAGCAAAGCAGGCTGAAGTATTCATTTTAAAGGACTTCTGTAAACAACATTTAAGAATTTTTTTAAAAAACATTTTTCCTTTTAAAAGAAAAGAAGCTAAATTTAGTACTTGTTATTGCAGTAGCTCGTTTTTTCCTCTTTTTTAAAATAAAAGTGAACTATTACCCCATTTAATGATGATGCAACCTTTCTGGAGCTTAGCTTTCTGGAGCTGTGTGTTTCAGAAAAAACACACACTGTAAGTACAAGAAAAAAATACAATGAAAAATGTAAAGTGTCTCACTTCTCAATGCTGAAAAGTCACGTTCAGAAAGGAAAACGCAGGGTGAAAAATAGACCAGCAGGCATAACTGTTCAAAGCAAAACAAGAGAATTGGAAAGCGTCACCATTCAAAGCTGCATTTTTTGTCCCTGTAAAAGGCCTATGGACTAATACATTCCAATACAAAAACTGCTTGGATTTAAAACGGATTTAAAATAGTCTATGGATGCTGTAATATTTTTAAGAAAAGGGACCACGTGAATTCCTCTGGGTCTCAGTTATTTCTCTGAAGAAAACAAACAGCTAATCTCTCAAGACAGTCTTAAGTATCTTCCATCCTCGGAGATTAAATTGCTTTGGTTTTAAGTAAAACTCTTCACTGCAATGACAGGTGGCCCCTCTTCTCAGAGTACATCAAGAGAAGCAGATTTATTTGAAAGCTGAGATAAGCCATAGCTCCTGTTCGACCGAAAGATGTGGCCGATAAGATGAATGGTTTAACATTCTATTACTAGTCTTCTACATTATTTGAAGAGTAATAACAACTCGGATTGAACTGTAACTTACAAACTGGCTTTGCCAGAGAGATATCCAGGGAAGCAGCCCTGAAGTTCGGGTTACAAACCACTCCAGTTTAGAACAAATAAATGAATATGAAAAGCAGTTTATTGGCTACCAGAGCTAATGAGATAAAGATCTGTATACAAAATACCCTGAAAGCATTCAAGAATGAAGTGCCAGCAAATCCCTTCACTAAAAGCAAAAACTTGCAATATTTATTATTTTTTAAAAGTTGCAGTGCTGCGTGAACCTATATGCGCCTCATCAAGCTTTTCATAAAAGTTATTTACTAACCAGAGTGAGAAAAATCTCATATTAAGAATTAGCTACACTTAATGCAGAACTACCAAGAAATCCTTACAGTTAACGTCTTCTATTACTTTTGTTGTCGATATAAGAAAACTTAAGCTGCAATTGCCATTGTTCCCTCACTTGTCATTTCTCACTACACATGTAATTTAATTTAGTACTTATTTTGGGATAATTTTGATTAAAAGATACTGCATCAATAAAAGAAATTATCTGTGTGTCTGCGGATAAATCCACAATATCTTCTAACTGAGGGGTCTAGATATTAGCTGTTTTCAATCAAGTAAGCCTTACATTTGGAGTTTAAAGCCTCCTTTACAGAGACGTTGCGTTTCTGTGCAAGCTTGAGACATTTTTGCAGTATTTTGCTGTAGCTCTGTGCGGCCTGAAGATATTGGCAGTGTGTGTAAGTAGCTGGAAAAATCAGATAAATTTTCCGACACACAAAATGTAATTCCTTGCATGCCTGAAGTTGTCTGCTTTTCCTTATGCTCACATGAATTCATTGGAGATCTCATCTCAACCTGTGAATTTTATCCTGACAGATATCTCTGGCCTTCTGGACCATTCTCTTGTCAGGTTTTATTCATACCTTCTGTCCAGGGCTTGCTCTGCGTTCTGTTTTCCCACATCTTCTCACGGTAAGACTTCACTGACAGTCGGAGCAAAAGATGACTTCTCGAAAACTTCTTGAGGAACCTGTGAATTAAAATACAGGTTTGACAATGGTTCATTTGCTAATATTAGTCAAATTTGACTCAGGCATGCTTTATGTATTTCAGATTTATTTCTTTAAATAATTCAAAAATTTAAGACGAATGTTTCTCAGTAATAAAATCCATCATTTCCTCTGCCTTCCATTTCTCTCCAAGTGATGGTTAATTTTCAGAACCCTTGTAATGAGAGGTCAAAAGAACGGCAAAGAGGGATCAACAGAGAGAATTCTAGAGACCTTTAACAGCCCCAAAGACCACATTCAAGGAATTAATTAATCATGCTGTTGTTGCAATGAGGGAATAAAAAGAAATCATTCAGCTCTTTTGATATTTGACCATTTACAGTATATCTTTCAGAGAAAGGATCTGTTTGTATTTGTTGCTTATTGCCAAATGAATGACCACCAAATATTCTTTGTCCATGTTCTCTTCTTCAGTAAAAAGCTGTAACTTTTTTTTATATTCCCAGAATTTGCAGGGGGTGAGTGCTGTTTTTTGTCAAAAACTGTACTCCTGCACTAAGAAACGCACGTAGTCTTAGTGATGCTTGAAACAGTGAACTATTTTTTCTTTTGGTTTTCTTTTAACATCTTTCTTGGGGCCACTCTGCCACCTGCCTACAGCTGAACAGAACTGTGCAATACTTCTCAGATTTGCAAAAGCTAGTTACGTTAAACGTGCAAAAATACACATAGGTTGAAAGCATGAACTCGTGCTTCTCCGCCTGTATTTTGTCAAGAACATACTGATAAATGCTTTAGTCAATTGAAAGTAAAAAGAGCAGTTAAAGGATGCCCTTCAAATAATTCGCAGGAGTAAAACTTCGCCTGAATTCATTTGCATCACAACCGACTCCCACAGCCATCAGCTTTGACAGATGTCAGATTATTCAGCTTTTCTACTCTCGTCAACTCCATGTAGCTATTCTGCCCCTATCTAAATGACTTGATCACCACGTGAAGGAACATCTTGTCACTCCAATGCCTTTGAAAAAGAAGTCCTTCCTTTGTGCTCTGTGGTAGGCAGAACTAACACCAGCACATGAATGGAGACGTCCTCATGAACGTAAACTAAGAATATCTCAATCCCTTCGAGAAAAGACACACTCTATTTTTATTCAAATAAATATTTGTAACTGTTTAGAAAAATCTTATACTTGGTTCTCTTTCTTCAACTTCTACTCACGAAGCTGTCTCACAGGTATTAACCAGTACTGGGAACATGGATTATAGTTTCTGAAAAAGGACACTTAGAATTTAGAAACAGATCCTGAGGCTACCAAATGGGAACAAATACATGGTTGTATTACATGTTTGTCTTACACGTTTGTATTACAAATTACATAGATGAAAAATAACACTGTCCAAGCACAATTTACCTCAAGCCGTAATAATTATGTTTAGTGAAACAGTTTACCTATATCACCTGAATTTCTAAGATATTTTACAAAAACTTGACTCACGGTCAAGGTGCCTTCATAACTAAAGCACCGAGCTGTATAATGATTCGGTGCTGTGGCTCACTGTTAGCAGTCAGCCTGTGACAAGATGCAATTTTAAGTCTACACTGAAGCAGAATTCCTGAGGAAAAAGTGCCACCAAAGAATTATTCGTTTTACAGAACTGCAAAACAGTGATGGAGGACAATTTAGGATGTCTTAAATAACATTAATTTGAGTTGTTTCTCCAGGTTTTATTTTTTCTGCAGATAAATGAGACAGGTTGTATTTCAATTGGTTTTACGTATGGTTGCCATTGTGAGGGCAAACCTTTTAAATTTCTCTTCTAGGCTTTAATTTCATTTTGGTGGAACTCAGTGAACCAGTCTGATAAATCAGTCTTATTCATGTTTACATTACAAACAACACTGGACCCTGAGCAGGGTTCCAGAACACCGCAGACAAAATACATAGGATTAGTACACAGAAACAGTAGAAAAGTGTTTTTTTCCTCCCCCGTGTGTTCCCTGGAGGTAAAGAAATAAAACTAACTGGGTAAAAATGATCACCTGTTCCCTGAAATTATTACTACTTTAGATACAGGACTCGTATGTTTTCTACTTGAGAAATATTTTGGAAATAAATAAATAAATAAATAATTAAAAAAATAAGGACATCATATAAGTTATCCAAGTTCCTAATTAAATTGGTTGCATTTCACTATTTTTCCCATGGGAATCAATGCTCGTGGTGTAGAGACATTTTACTGCCACTTCTCTAATGGGACCACTGAGCCATTATTTTTGCGAGCGTACCTGATATTCCCATTAACAGCACTAATTCCCAGCAATCACAAATCAAAGAGCATCTTATGGCCTCTTCTACCCGATACTCAACTACATTATTAAACTGGCTCTGTCAACTAATAGCAAATACACAGCTGAGTAGAAAAAAGTGAGGAAATACACCTAATCCTACATCTTATCCTATTTTCTAGTCTAAAGCATGAAAAAGAAGAGTTCTTTTTAAACGATGACACAGGTATTTGTAGATTTGAAGGAACAGAGGTTATAACTCATACCTAAACACAGTTTATACAAAAAGTGACCCTTTATTATTAGATTATTATCCCCTAGCTTGGAAAAGTCCTGCAAGCCCAAGTATCTCAGTTCTCAAACACGTCACTGATTCCTGAAGAGAAATACTATTCGGTGTTGATAAACATTTCAGTTCTTTGGCAGAAGATTCATTACTGCCAGTGCTTTTTCTTTGCAGAGAACTGGTTCCTTAGTTCAGATCTGTGAAGAACTTGTGGTGAATTCCTTAAGCTCGTTAGTAATTACTAAAAGGCAAACACCTTGTGTTGCCACACAGGAATAACCACCCGTACAGAATACACACATCTCCCAAATAACATAGCAAATTTGCTTCCCAGTTTTGTACATTACCTCGCCATGCGTCATTCTGATTTAGGCCTTTATGGGCACAAAATGCTTGGTTTAGAGTCATGGCAAATGCCTTCAAATTTTGTAACATTTTAGAAGAAAGAGATCCTCCAACTGCACGTGTGTAAGGAATATAACAGTGTTATCAATGACCAGGAAGACTTGCTGTTGACAGAAAGGCACTGCACAGACCACTTGAAAATGAAGTGCTTTTCAGACATATTCTTTCTGCATATCTATAATCTCTCTTCTGCCTAAATTCATTTCCTCTCCCATTCCATCATCACCGTCAAGTTCTTAAAAACCTGAATTGCATCACATTCATTGAGACAAAAACTGCACTTGGACCCCAAAGCTTTAGATCGCTTAAACCTTCATTTTTCACTGCACTATTGTGAGAGAATTAGCAGACGTGGCCTAAGAACATTTAGGCAAGCATGTGCCCTGATGCAGCATATTGTGTAACCCCGATTCAGTTCATTTCAGTCCAGTTAAGCACAGGGGAAGGAAGGACACTCTCAGAACTGCTACAGCTGCACCAACCGGACAGAGATCACCATTCAGAAGGTTATCTAGCCTCTCTGCAACACAGAGAGAAAGAGCAAACGTTGTCATGAAAATCCAGGTGGGATCTACTGCGAATGTGAATTAAGGTCTTGCTATGCTGCAAGAAATAATTCCCATTCTTAGAAAGCGTGAAGGTTACATAGTGGCTGCCTATTTCCAAGCTGCTTGCCTGATCTGTATTCGGAAAGATGTGTTTTGTCCTCTTGACAAGATAAATGTTCTACATATCACTGATAACCACATAACCTACGCAGCAAAGTTAAGAGTATTAGCCTAAAAGCAGCATTAGCCGTGCAGAAATTTATTTTTGACTGCTTATTTTTGACAGTACACCCACGAAGCAGTGGATTATTTCTTAGCATATAACATAATTTCTGTGCTTGAAGATCCTCCTATCAATTTTCTCTTAAGAGGACGCTAACAAGCATTTCATTCTCTCTCCTGCCATACAGAAGAACAGAAGCTTATTTCTTTGATTGCTGAGATCCCCTTGTGCACTTTAACTAGCTGCAACATCCTGTGTGCTCCTTGGAAAGCAATTACACACTTCCTTTACTTCATTTTGCTTCTAAATAGCTGCAGAGGCAGAATGATCTCTGCTACCAATCCAACCCAGAAAGCAGTCAGCTTACTGTAATGATAACCTCAATACAAGTTGCCAGCATTTTTCCAAGTACAGGCTTTTGCCTGCAATCTATGAAGACACAATTACAACCAGGCCAGGCTGATGCTTCAACATCTGGTAAATCACCTGCAAAGGCAAATGTCACCTGCACGAGAAAAGTGCTATCATAACAGTAAAATTCCAGGCTTAGAACTTTAAAACTCATGCTGCTAGATATATTTCACCCCTTCCTCTATTCTGAAGTTTAGAAGTAATGCTTCTATATGCCCGAACAACAGATTTGGCTCAAATGTTCGGCCACCTAGCCTTTGCTCAGCTTCTTAAGCAGTTCTGCCCAAGATAGCACCTGGGCAAAAGACATACCCAATACTCCAGGACCTAAAGCACATTCACTGGCACTTCAACTTAGAAACTTTTAGAGATCAAGAAGGAAGCTTGTCCAAAACTTACTGACAATTTAACGCAATGTGTAAATGATCTTAAAGAGAGTACAGCATCAGACTCTTTTAAAGTGACCCAAAAGGGACTCTGTACTGAGTAGCAGAGAACATTTATGCTTACTAGAATGCGGATTTCACCGCAATCCCTAACACTTCAGCTAGGATCTCCAGCTTCAACAGCTGTCTTTCAACTTTTAAGCCCCAGAGACTAAAACTCACTTTATTTTATTTGAATTGAAGGTGCGACAACACTGCTGTTATCTCCTAAGAATGTCTTACAGTCTATGCTACCAATTTTGAATCTTGATTAGTGAAGGTGACTTGGGAAAAATTACAGACTAAGAACATGGGGTTGTGTTACACCCTTTCTATTTTCTCTCTGAGACTGCACCTGTAAAACTTCCTACTTGCAATGCACATCAAACTGATCCGTGAAAGACTGAGCTAGTATTTGAAATGACTTCTCCT